GGTCACACTATATGGTTTAAGCCCAGCATGAAAGCTGGAACCTTCATCAACATGACAAAGTAGCACTGGCCTCAGGTCCCTGCACCTCAGCGCCCCCTACCACTGCATTGGGGCCCGCACTAACTGTGAGGGGAGAGTGCCCCCTACTGAACTCCCCAAAACCCTGTAGCACAGCACCCCTAAGTAGGGATGCCATGTGTCCAGTTTTTGACCGGATTGCCCAGTCAAAAACGGACCCTGGCGGCTCTGGTCAGCATCGCTGACCGGGCCATTAAATGTCCAGTTGGCAGCGCAGTGGGGCTAAGGCAGGCTCCTTGCCTGCAGTGGCTCCATGCGGCTCCTGGAAGCAGCGGCATGTCCGCCCTCTGGTTCCTACTCTGGCAGCCAGGGGGCTCCATGCACTGCCCCCGCCCCAAATGCCAGTTCTGCAGCTCCCATTGGCCGGAACTGCAGCCATAGGGAGCTGCAGGGGCGGTGCCTGCAGATGGGTCAGTGCCCAGAACCGCCTGTCCATGCCTCCGCATAGGAGCCAGAGGGGGGACATGCTGCTGCTTCTGGAAGCTGCTTGAGGTAAGCGCCGCCCGGAGCCTGCACCCCCTGCCCCAGCCCTGATCCCCCTCCTGCCCTCTGAACCCCTCGGTCCGAGCCTGGACCACCCTCCTACACCCCAAATCCCTCATCCCCAGCCCCCCCAAGTCTGCAGCCCCAGCCAGAGCCCGCACCCCCTCCTGCACCCCTGCCCCAGCCCGGAGCCCCTTCCTGCACCCCAACCCCCCACCCCAGCCCCCTGAGCCAGCCGGGTGAAAATGAGCTAGTGAGGGTGGGGAGAGCACCCACAGAGGGGATGGACTGAGTGGGGGCGGGGCCTCAGAGAAGGGGCGGGGCAAGGGTGTTGTGTTTTGTGGGAGCAGAAAGTGCGGCATTGGGGCCAGCACTGAGTGGGAGGGGAGAGTGCCCCCTACTGAGCCCCCCACCGGGGTTAGCACTGGCTGAGTGGATTCCTCTGCAAGCAGCCAGCAGGAAGCCCCACATTGTAGCGTGTGCACTGAACGTCGGATTTGTGATCCTGAAGGTTTCTTCCCAGACGGGGGGTGAGGGGTGGGGAAATGCTCATCACATGATTTCTAAACCACTCCTGATTTTTCACCCGGGTCCCATGTTTTTTAAGCTCCTCTCGTGAGTGTGAATGTTGCGGGTGACAACGCGGGGGGGAAATTCAGGGTTAATTCCACTGAGTTCCCAAGCCGGGGAGAGAGAAGCAGGAAGTGATCTGAAATGGGGACGCAATAACCTAGGGACCTTCCTGTGCCAGCCCCCCCCCCCCCGGGCTCGCCTCGGAGTCAGTCCCTGCAGCCTGTGTGGCAAGGGGCTGAATCCCCGTCTGCAGCCCCAGGGCCCGGGAGGGAATCGCCCTGGCCAGAGGGGTGAGTGGGGCGGGGAGTCCCAGCCAGAGGGACAGGCAATTGATGCAAGCAGGGAAGAAGAACAAATGAGAAAAGGGCTGTGGGTCGGGATTGAGGGGCACTGGCAGGGTTGTGGGGCAGCACGGAGCCCAGGACTGGGATGGCAGGGGACTGTGGGTCGGGATTGAGGGGCACTGGCAGGGTTGTGGGCCAGCACGGAGCCCAGGACTGGGATGGCAGGGGGCTGTGGGGCAGGATCGAGGGGAGCTGCCGGTAGCTGCCAGCTGCACAGTGACTAGACTATTTCCCAGACCCAGTTCAGGTGGTCCCAGGGTAGGGGTGCGCCTCCTCGACAGAGGAGCTCCAGAAGGAGGAGAGGGAACTGCTCCCCACGTGGCTGGAGCCTGGGGGCTGCTAATGGGGCTGATTGTGCTCCAGCAGGGCCCACTCCTCCTGGGAGCGGCCGTGGGCTCTAGCTGAGGGGTTTGATCCCTAAGGTACGCTGGCCTGACTGGGTCTGGTCACTGACCCTGTTTCCCTTCCAGATTTGCACCGGCTGTCCGGTCCGCATGAAGAGGGGAGTGATGGAGGGCAGGATCTCCTGCCCTGACTCCTTATGCCCGGCTTCCAGGTGAGCTGCTGCCGAGCCATCCTCCTGGGTTTGCTGGCCTACCAAGCCCTCCTCTCCCTTCTCCTCCATTTCTACCCCATCTATCCCCTTTATTCCCTTCCCGCAGGGTTTCCAACCCCCAGGGGATGGTGGCGACTTGGCAGACCCTTCTCATGAGCGCAGGGGTAGCAGGAGGTCACGCAAGGGCACTCTCCCCTGTGGGGCCACTGATTTCCACCTCCCACCCCACTGAGAAGCAGTTGTTGCCCAGGAGTCGGTTCCAGCCCGTTTTGCGGAGCCTTGGTTCTTCAGCTCAGGCTGTAGCAGCGTGTGCTCTTAGTGCCGCAGGTCCCTGGTGTGTTGGCTGAGATGGCGGCCATCACAGCATGTTGCTTGGAGATGAGGCCTCTCTGCTCAGCAGCACAGCACGAGCCGAAGGCAGGAATCCCAGCTCCCTCCACCTGCCGGGGAATGTGCTGGCTTCTCCACCGGCCTGGGTATGAAGTTGTGGGGAGGATGTGGGGTGGTGCAGTTGGTTCAGGGGAGCAAAGGTAGCACAGTGAAAGGGTGAGAGAGACCATCTCTTGGAGAGAGGGGTACCCTGGAGGAGACAGAGTTCAGGGATGGGCAGACAGACCGAAGTACACACACCTGTTTTGTCCAATCCCACAATCCTTTGTGCCCTCAGAGGATCGCAGGGCGGGGGGAGAGTTTAGCCATTTTACGGCATGTGGACCAAAATGGAGGCTGAGAAGCAGCGAGGCATTGTGGAGGAGCAGAGCTGTAGTCAGGTGGCTATCAGCTTCTCTGTTCTGGGCCAGCCAAAGCGCTTGTGAGATCACAGCTCGAGGCTACAAGTGTCGAGTTGCAGCAATCTCAGCCTCTGGAGATCGCTACAGCATGGATCATCCCGGCCGGGTCTACAGGGGTGCAGCCCCTCTCTTGGCCACTCTCAGACAGGAGACTGTTTGGAAGCTGTAGCCAATCTGAGTGCGAAGCCCAGAAGGCTGTAGAGGGGAGGTACTTTGGTTGGGGTCAGCTCTTCAAAATCTCTCCATTTGCCAGGCCAGCAGGATCTCCATGACTGGGAAGGGTCCAGAAGGTGTAGCTGGAGTTGTCTATTTCTTTATCCACCTCGCTTAGAGGGCAGGTTTGGTACCAGGAGCTGGTTAGCAAGGGCCATAGGATTTAGAGAGATACAGAGTGCACCGGAGTCTCTCACCACTTCCTCTCAGGTTTCACTCCCACGTCCACATCTCGGAAAGGTCTCGGTAGTCCACCATGTTCCCACAGAGCAGCCCTGGCTCTCTAACAAGACTGATTTAGCTCACTGAAGAGAAGGGGAAAAGGTAACTCGATCACAGTCTATAACCACCTTTGTGGGGAGGAGATTCTTGAGGGCAGAGGACTCTGTTAACCTAGTAGACAAAGTAGGAGCAAGATTCAAAGGCTTGAAGTGGAAGTTAGATTACTTCAGCCTGGAAGTAAGGCGCCCATTTTAAACAGGGAGCGTGATTAACCTGCTTCTCAAAAGACGGAGTCTTGAAATCCAGATGGGCCGCCTCCTAAAATGTATGCTCTAGTCTAGTTCAACCACAAGTTATTGGGCAGGATACGGGAATTGCTGAGTGAAATCCTCTCACCTGAGTTATACAGGAGGTTGGATGATATGATCAGAACAGTCCCTTCTGGCTTCAATATATGGCTCTTTTTGACTCTGTTGTAGAAGCATATCCCTTCTCTTCCTTTCCTGCCCCAGCCCACGCCTTTGTAATCTCTCTCTTCCAAAACCCACACCAAGGAAACCTCTTGCTGCTTCCTTGCCCCCTGGGGGTTTTGCCACAAACTTTCTGTGCTGCCCTTTGTGGCTCATGCACTGATTTTCTGGAGGGAAGGGAATTGGTGCAATAGGTTCTGATGGGGGTCCCTTGTGGTTCCAGGTGCCGGTGACGTTCAAGGAGGTGGCCGTGTGCTTCCGCAAGAAAGAGTGGGGTGACCTGGACGAAGGGCAGAGGCAGCTCTATGGGGCAACTTCCACGAGCATTATGAGACTCTGACTTTGCTGGGTGAGGAGTTACTTCTCCTCGAGGATTAGGAGCTGGGGGTGCATGTGCGCACTGAACTGCCCAGGGCAACTCCTCTGGGGTCATCACTCGAGTCAGTTAGCAAGTTTTAAGATGGCTTAATAGTTTCCATATGCTTGAGTCCTCCCAACCTCTTTGTGTGTGCATCCTTGACTCCCCTATAGGGGAGCGGCCCATCTCTTCCCCACTGGCATCTCACTTGCTCCAATGGGTCCCCATGAACTTTCCCCCTCTTGGATACTGTTTCTCCCAGCAGAGGACATGGTCAAGGTTAAAATCTGGGAGCGTTCCCTGTATCAAGTCTCCATGGGAGATTTCACCAAGCGCCATCTTGCCTGTTTCCTTCCCTGTCAGCAGGATTCCCCGTCCCTGACCCGGCCATGACCTCCCGGATGGAGCGAGGGGAAGAGCCAAGGGTCCCGGATCTCCAGGGCGCCGAGGAAAAGGAGATCCTAAGAGGTGCCCGCACAGGTGAGGAATGAGCGACACTGGCTCAGAGATCATCCAGGAGTGAAGGAAAAAGCTGGGATCCCAGCAAAGCCCCAGGAAGCCCTCCAGTTCTGTCTCCTCTCACTCAGTATCGTCCCAGCAGGTGCCCTGTCCTCCTAGCAGGTGTCACGTCTGGATCCCATCTGCTCTGCCTGACTCTGGCAGGAGCCCTCACCTCCCCCAGCCTTTCTGTGAGGACTCAGCTGGGCTGTTGAGACAGAACCTCCTCTCCTCTGCCCTCAGGGAAGGGTTTGAGGGATTCACTTCCTGCCCATCAGGTTTTCTGCTCAGTGACAAACCCCTTTGCTGCCCCCTCTCTACCTGGCGCAGGGAACAAGCCCCAGCTGGATTCTCTCTCTCTCTCTCTCTCTCTCTCTCTCTCCTCCTCCTCCTCCTCCTCCG